TGCTGCAGACCCCTGGGCTTTGAAGCATACAAGCAAACAGACCCCTTCAATTTGGTAACATTGACTCCTTAGAAGCTGCTGTGTATGTTTCCTCAAACTGTTGTTATACTTACAATTTTTCTCTTTTGTGATCATTTTGCTTTCTGTGAATATTTTATCAATATGCGACTATTATAATGTAAGATCTAATGAAGATAGGGACTGTGTTCATTTTATTAACCTAGCAGAGAGTCTGTTATATTTTTTGTTGGTTCAATGATTGAAAACATTTGAAGGTGTTTGTTGAATGATTAAAAATGACATTTTCTTTAAAGCTCTGCTAAATTTTGTCACTTTATGCATTGTAAGGGCATAACATTTAATGCACAAAATTATAAAAATTTTAAAACAATCGGGATACTGACTTAATACGGTTGACTGATACAGATGTATCTGGAATGTAAAAATGATAACTTTCAGCATTACTGTTCTCTAATGAGGAATTCATTTTATTTCCTCCAGGTCTTTCCATTTACTTTCAAGAAAATTTAATACAATGTCTAATAACATGTTGTATTTTACTTTAAATACATGATTGTGCATTGTTAGAATGAATCCAAATAAGGGTTTCTGACTGACCAGGCTCAAAAAGTCATAATATTTTTTTTCTTTTTTGCTTGGAGATACAAATGATGCCTGTTTTATTACCAAAGCTATATCATTTATCTTATACCTCTCCTAAGATGGAAAAGGTGCTGGAAGTGTTATATATATTTATTTGATTTAGACAGGTGGAATAGATTCCAATGATTCTAGCTATATTCGTCACCATAATTCTTGTCCCAACCTGCTGTTTCTTCCCAGGTGTAGTACCTCAAAGCCTTGACAAAAATCTTTCTTATAGGGACTCAAGTGCATGTAAATTCTATTTCTCCTAAAGTCACATAGATCAATTACTCCAGTGTAACTTGAACAAAAAAATCAATGCTGATTGTTTTTCCAATTATACCTTAAGAACTCATTATCACCACAAAAATGGAGGTCTCCATCCATAATTCCTCTCTGCCCACAGCAATTGCTGGAGATACTTTTTCTATAGATATCCTAAAATAAAAAGCATACAAAAATATCTACGGTTACTCATTTTAAAACATGCTAAGTGAACAGAGAAGTTGCTGATTCTAGGGGGGTACTGCTAACCAAAGGTAATGCTTTTATTTAATTTTTAATACATTTATATCTCATCTGGTTTCACAAAAGATTTGTAATGTTCATTTCTGTTTAAATTATCCATTGCTGCCTAATACATCTTGCCAAAACTTAGTGGCTTAGGACAACAAACATATTTCTTTTGTTCATTAGTCTGCATGTTTGCATAGCAGAAGATGGCTTGTTTTTGCTCCATGTGGCATCAGCTGGGGACTAAGTGGGTTGACTAGGGACTGGAATATCTATTACCAGGATGACTTACTCATGTAACTGGAATAAGAAGCCAGTGAAGATTGTGGACTTGGGGCCTTGCTCCCTCTCCCCACAGGCTTTGCTTGAGCTTCTGCATAGAATAACATCTGAGTTCCGAGAATAAATATCTCAAGAGACCAAGTGAGAAGAGTATGGCATCTTTATAACCCAGCATCAGATGTTATGTGAATCATATTCTGTTGAGTAATAATTATTTCCCACCCAAGTTCAAGGAGTGACAGCATGGATCCCATTATCTAATGGGAGTAGATAAATGGGATGGAAACTATTGTTGTGTTCACCTTTGGAAAATACATGCTCTGCTCTTTAGCCACACAATATATATATGCAAAATATAGTCATTCTTTTCTCAAGTGAAATGGAATTTTTGGACTGGAACCTGGATTCTTTATCCATCAGAGTCAAAGAATGAATCCATGAACAGAGGGTAGTATAGCAAAGGTGGAGATTTATTGAAGAACAAGTACAGATTCCCAATGAGGGAGGAGGAAAGAGTCCCACCCCATCCCTTCTTCCACAGTTTATAATGGCTGCAAGTCCCTGTGTCCAGATATCCCCTCTGATTGGCCACTACAGCAACTCCTGAACTCAAAGGTCAAACACCACATGGGACATGGGAGGCCCTGCTCCCTCATTGTCCTTTTCTTTCTGGGCTTTCTTCCCTCTTCTTTATTTTGTAAATATAGACCTTTTAGCTACTTCCAGCTCCTTGTCCTATGTAAATGCAATGGTTGCTGCTCCCTGCACCTGGCTTCCTTGTGTCATAGAGATGTACCTTCTCCCAAATCTGTGGCCCTATAATTTTTTCCATGGACCCCAATTCTAAAAATTCCCTAAACCTGCATATACCCCCTAAAAATCCCGTTTCACAAGGATTTCAACAACAATGAGAAAGTCACATTTACAAATCTCTTCTATATCTTAGACTCCCTGTGAAATTGCTATATAATAAATAAGAGTATTAGTATTCTTTTTTAAAAAAATATATTTTATTGATTTTTTACAGAGAGGAAGGGAGAGGGATAGAGAGTTACAAACATCCATGAGAGAGAAACATTGATCAGCTGCCTCCTGCACATATCCTACTGGGGATGTGCCCACAACCAAGGTACATGCCCATGACCGGAATCGAACCTGGGATCCTCTATCCACTGAGCCAAACCGCTCAGGGCAGTATTCTTAAAATCTCATTATTAAATAGAGAAAATCTGTGAGACATATTGAAGCTCCTTAGAAGGGCTTTTATATGACTGGAATTTCTATGAGGTATTGCCTTAGAGATTTCTGATGTATTAGAAAATTTTATAGTCCAATTCTGGATTTGATCTTTGCTCTGAAACCATTTCTTAATTTGAAGATTGATTGTCATATTGAGTAGCTGAGCATGAGAAACAGTTTTATTTTTGAACTCAGAAGCTCCCGGTCTCTATATTTAACAGTTCATTACTTAGTTCATCTCTCTTGTACTTTAATCAGAGATAGTAACAGGAAGCCAGATGTCACTTTCAATGTTCTGCTGGGATTTCTCCTTGGCTAGATCACTAAGTTGATTTCCCTTTTTCACCTTATTGCAGAAATAGTGTTGCCAAACTTTCCACCTCCACATTACAAGGTGCCCTTTCCTGCTGGTACTAATAACATTTCCCTTGCTTTCCTTTAATATCTCACCATCAGCCTCCTCAAGTCTCTTCATTAAAACTCTCCTTAAAGACTTTTAGGCTTTCTTAATGAAACAGGAATTTTAGGGGAATAGAGGCAGGCTTAGGGAATTTTTAGAATTGGGGTCCATGTAAAAACACAGGACTACAGACTGGGAGAAGGTATATCTCCATAACACAAGGAAGCCTGGCACAGTTATATTTCCATAAAACAAGGGAGCAGCAACAGATACATTTCCGTAAGACAACTGAAAATAGCCAAAAAAGGTCTATATTTACAAAATAAAGGAGGAAGAAAGCCCAGAGGGATTAGGAGGACAATGAGGGAGGAGGGCCTCAGGAGTTACTATAGTAACCAATTCAAAAGGGAACATTGACCAATCAGAGGGATATCAGGGCACAGGCACTGCAGCCTTTATAAACCAAGGAAACAGGAAATCGGTGGGACCTTTTTCCCCTTTCCACGAGGGAGACCGTTCTGTGGGACTCTCCCTCTCCCCACGTGGGAGTCTGTACTTGTTCTTCAATCAGTCTCCACCTTTGCTATACCACCCTCTGTCCGTGGATTCATTCTTCGACTCCAACGGACAAAGAATCTGGGTTCCAGTTCAAAAATTCCATTTCATTAACAGTCGCTTCAAAGGCCTCTCAATTTCCCCTAATCTCTTGATCTCAAAGCTAAGACCATAGTTTTTTCATTCTTCTTATTTTGTCACTTTTATTTGTTCTTATTAAGTTTGTCTTATTTTTTTTCAGGTTTATTTCCATAATTTATCAATTTTCATTTAGACTAGAATTATATTCAAGTTTAACATTTTCAAATCAGGCTATTCTTCTTTAGGCCAAAGTATCAACTCTTTCTTTGTTAAATACCTGTGGTTTGGATTCGACTGAACTTTTCTTTCCCCCAACCATATAATTGCTGCCTAAAACTTTATTGTTTCTTAGAAGTAAGTTTTGTTATCCAAGCACAATGCTGACTCTATTATCAGGGTTTCTCTGCTTTCAATGACTCTATTAGAAAATGTATCTTGAGGTTTTACTAAATGCTAGGCATTGTTTCAGGTGCTAGAGATGGACAGATATTTCCAGCAAATGTATTTGGCATGCATCTCAATCTGCTGATTTAGGAGGGCAAACAAATGTAATATATTACAATAAAGTTTATTATAATTAATTTATTCACTAACAGTAACAGTAAAAGCTCATTACATGTTAATGTATTTATCATTTATGAGACATAGCTATATTTTCTAAAAACATAGTGAGAACAGTGGCTATCTTATTCTACCCTGGCTATTATAATAGAATGCCATAGAATGAGTATCTCATGTGTAACAAATATTTGTTTCTCATAGTTCTGGAGGGTGGGAAGTCCAAGGTCAGGGTGCCAGCAGGGTATCTGGTAAGGGCCTGTTTCCTATTTTATAGATGGCCATCTTCTTACTGAGTTCTCACATGGCAGAA